TGGTAGTTATAAATGCTTTTTTGTTCATTAGTTGTCTGTAGTTAGTGGTTGTATATTGAGAGGCAGTATGATATAATGAATTTAGGCTTGGAGTCAGAAAGACTTGAGTTCAAGTCTTGATTCTGACACAGGCAAGCTTGTGTGACTCTGGTCAAGTCATTTAACCTTTTAGTGCCCAAGCCAACTCACTAAGATTCTAAGTTAGAGAAGTTAGTAATCTTCATCATTGAAGGGAGTTTTCACACTTGTATTTCCCTATACTTATGAAATCATGAACCTGGACAAAGATATAACCCTCCAAAACCTAATTGCCTAATATATTCCCCCAAGCATACACATTACTATATTTATTTTCCTTAAAACCTGAACAATGAGTTCTGAGGTGGAGAATGTTGGGTGGGACACAGAAGAAAAGTGTGGCCAAATTTACCAATAAAGAGGAAGCAAATTACAGAATGGGTGAGGGAATAAAATTAAACTGTTTCATGCTTGCAAAAGCTGCATCTTAGACAATCAGATTCAAAGTAAAGACTGGGAAAAAAATCTGTTATGCTCAAGCTGTATCCAGAAGAAAAAAAAAAGAATTATAATCATGATCACATGTAAGACAGCAGTAAACCTAAATACCTAAAATAGGGACAAGTAGAGAAACAACCTTAGGACTAAAAACACCACTTATAATGAAACAATATCTATATTAAATGTGCATACACTTTATTAAATTCTTTGAGGAAAAGCTTACTGAAATGAAAAAGAAAGAACTAGTTAGTCGCTAATGTTAAGTGACTTTAACATTACAAAACCAACAGAAAAATAAGTGAAAATAAAATTAGATTTGAATTAAGTGTTGGGTACACTGGATGTAAAAGATCAATGGAGACTTCTGAATAAGGATGTTAGAGAATACACATATTCCTCAGACTTCCATGGGATCTAATCCATCACATGCTAGGGTACAAAGAGCACATAAATTCAGAAAGCAAGAAATCTTAAACACATACTTTACAGGCTGTAGCACACTTAAAATGGTACTCAACTAAGGAAATATGACCAAAAGACACAGACCTAAAAGGAGACTAAAACACAATATATGAAATAATGAGCGGACCAAAGACCTAATAATAGAAACAATTAAAACTTAAGTAGTTCTTAAGGGAAAGTGTGTGTGTGTGTGTGTGTGTGTGTGTGTGTCCTTGCACATTATATTAACAATAGAGAAAAAGAAACAATGAATTGACCATGAAGTTAAAAAAAATACTAGAAAAACAAAAAAAATTTAATCCAGAAATGAACACAAAATAAAGATTTTAAAGATTTAAAGGCAAATTTAACAGAATTAGAAACTTGATTAAGTCATTAAATAAAATAAAGAGCTGTTTTTTCAAAGACTAAGAAAATTGACAAACTATTAGCTATTTTGATTTTTAAAAGAAATAGCAAGACCAAATTAGCAAATTGAAAAGGAGATTTCACAACAAAATGGAGAGGAAATAAAGAAAATTATCAAACTGCCATATCAATAAATGGCAACAGAACTGAAAACCTAAATGGAATGGATGAATAACTACCAAAACCTAAAATGCCCAAATTAACAAAACAAAGGCTAAGTAACCTAATCCTTATTTCATAAAGTTAAATTGAATAATTCATAAATGAATTCTTCTGCACGTGTGAATTTTATCATTCAAGAATAAAATCATCTCCCTACTACATTAACTATCTCAGGATTTGGTAAAGTATTTGTTTTCTTTACTTTTTGAAAAAAATTAAGGTCCTGTTTGTCAAACGAGGGGAGTGATAAAGCAGAGGAGAACCATGTGTCAAAAATCACTAATGACTATCAATGTAAAAATATTACAACAATGACTAATCATAGCACTGTATAGGCAAAATATTCATTATGACCAAGTTGTATTTATATCAGAAATAAAAGGATGGTTCAATGTTAGGAAAACAATTAGCAAAATAGTCATATTAATAATTGAAAAACAAAAATTACATGATTATGTAATCAGATGCAGAACAAACTTGTAACATAACATTCATTTATATTTAAAAAAAACACTAAAAAGCATAGGAACAAAATAGAACCATTCCTAATATCAAAAACATTTATCTAAAACTAAGAGCTAGCATTATTTTTAATGGAGAAACATTGGAAACTTTCCCAGTTAAGATCAGGAATGAAGCAAAGATGCTGACTATCACAATTGATATTAACAATAGAAATGCTGGCTATCACAGTAAATCAAAGAAAATAAATTAAGGGAATAAACATTATAAAATTAAAGGCCGTGTTATCTTTTTATGGATGATCTGATGGTTTACTTAGAAAATTCTGGAGAATAAGAATTGAGATAAGTGCTTTTGCAAGAAGTAGGCTGCAAAACAAATCCACAAAATCATCAGTATTTCTAATAAATCAAGAAGAAGAGATAGAGAAATACCACTTAAAGTAACCCTGCATCAAGTATCTGGGCATTGACCTAGTTACACACGAGATTAATACAAATAAGACTGCAAGACAATTTTCTTTTTATTTGGTTTTTTTTTTCAGTTGTGCCCAACTCTTTTATAAAACAATTTTCACCAAAATAAAGGAAGACCCAAATGAACGAAGCATTATCCAGTGTATGTAGCTGAACCATTGGGCCATGCCAATGTGAGGAGAATGTTATTGTTTGTTGTAACTCAATTGTTTCAATCATGTCTGACTCTTCATGACCCCATTTGGGGTTTTCTTGGCAACGACAATGGAGTGATTTGCCATTTCCTTCCCCATCTTATTTTACAGATGAGGAAACTGAGGCAAACAAGGTTAAGTGACTTGCCCAGGGTCACATAGCTGGTAGGTGTCAGAGGCCAGATATGAACTCAGGAAGATGAGTCTTCCTGACTCTAAACCTGGCACTCTATCCACTGTGCCACCCAGCTGCCCAATGTATACAGTTTACCAGCCCCCATTTTTATATTCTAAATAGAGTATTCATAGACTCATCTTCCCAAGTTCAAATCTGGCCTTAGACACTTACTAACTGTGTGACCCTGGACAAGTCGCTTAACCTTGTTTGCCTCAGTTTCCTCATCTGTAAAATGAGCTGGAGAAGGAAATGGCAAACCACTCCAGGATCTCTCTCTGCCAAGAAAATCCCAAATGGGGTCATGAAGAGTCATACAAGACTGAAACAAATGAACAATACCATTTTTATGTGAGTTTGATACCACTGACCTAGGATAGCCCTCTCATTTCATAGATCAGGAACTATTGTGATTATATATAAAAAAAAAAAGCTTTTCCCTAAATAAAGTTAAAGTACCATAGGTTTTATCCCCATTTCAGCTGAGGAAACTGAGGCTTCTAGAAGTTGTGACTTGTACATAGTAATGCCCCAGGACCACACCAGAGGGCCTAGTCCTCTTTACTCTGTTCTCTGCACAACACTGCCTCCATGTGGTGAAGACAGGAAAGCACCATGGCATAGTAGACATTTCAATCCCTGATCACTTATCACCTCTGTGGCCTTGGGCAAATCTCATCCTCTCTTAACTTAAGTTTCTTCATAGGTAAAATGTGGAGGTGGGACTAGAATACCTCCAAGTTCCTTTCAGTTCTAAATATATGATCAGAAAATAACTTGGATTTGCGATTGAGGTGGATACCTGGTCCAAGGGTACAGATCCTACCTCATCCATCCCTTCTCTTGTACATCCTTTGCCCTTGTCCTCTTCTAAATCCTTAGGTTTTTTTCCATAGCCCTTGTCTCCAGTGGAGCACGTGCTCTGTTTATGCGTCATCATTTGCTTTTGCTATGGAATTAACCTAATTATGGGATCAACCTAACTTCTTTTCTGGGCACACATGTAGTCTTTATTGATATACTCCTTTCTACTTTTTGTGCACAGTTCTTCACTGGTAAAGGGATATATTACCTATTCTTACTCACCATGCATCTCATGGTCCTTTGAATTTTGTGCTTTTGAAGTGGTTTTTAGAGTTAGTAAAATAGTGGAAATGGAAGCCACAGGGCAAAGACCATATTTTATCCGTCTTTGTACCCAACCCAGCAGCACCTAAGACAGTGTTTTACTCATATTAAACACTCAATGAATATTGAATTAATGAATCTCCGGTATACTATAATATACACATATATTAATATTATGTACTGATAACTCATACTTAGTACTTAAAAATTACAAAGTATTAAGCAACAATACAAGTATTATTGTTCCTATTTTATAAATAAAGCTCAACGAAATTAAGGGATTTGCCTACAAATAGCTTGTAATGGCAAACTTGAGCCCCTAGTTCAGTTTTTTCTGACTCTAAGTCTAGTAATCTTTCCACTACAACACATTTTCGCTCCCATATATAACAATATAATAATAATGAAGGACATTCAACTCGTTTCATTAGGCACTTTTTTTCAAAAACATTTTTTTGCTTATTATGTGCAAGACATTGCATCAGGTGCTTAGGATGCAAAAACAAACCAAAAAAGGCCCCTGATTTCAAGGAGCTTATATTTTAAGGTTGTATCTCCCATGAAGATTGTGGGCATATTTTAGGGAGATATCCAATGCATTTCTTGGAAGATTGAACATTGATAGCACTTAGAAGAATCTTATTGGGAAGCTCAGAAAATCTCTTGACTTGCCACCATACGTACTGGACCTTCCCAAGTCCATCCATATGTAAGATAGCAGTATAACACACGAATGTCAGTTGCCTGGAGTACTTTGGCTCTACATTCTGTACTTGAACTAAATTTCTTCTTCCTTTCTTCTCCCAAACCTATTTCCTTACAGATCCAGTCTGGTTTCTTTTAAGTTTTAGGCCCATATATGTTCCCAGCTACTTAAACTTTTACCTTAGAAAATATTGGCAAATATTCTTTCTGTTCCCTGTTGGATTCCTTTCCACTACTAGAGTGATGGAATTGGGGAGAAAACGCTACCCACAGCCAACCATATATTTTGTTTTTTTCTCTTCCCACCAGATGGGAGGCATTCCAGATCATGGTGTCCAAGTATCGGAAGGAAGTAGACTCTGCACTCAGTGTACACAACTACTGTGTGGACTGTGAGGACACAAACAAGTGGATTCTGGACAAGACAGAGGTGGTAGAGTCAACGAAGGATCTTGGCCGGGACCTAGCAGGAGTGATTGCCATCCAGCGCAAACTGTACGGATTGGAACGAGATGTGGCTGCTATCCAATCCCGTATGGCCTCTCTGGAGCGGGAGTCCCAGCGGCTGATCCAGGAGCATCCTGAGTTACAGGAGAGCATTGGGAAGCGGCAGGCTTACACGGAGGAGCTGTGGCAGAAGTTGCAGCAAGCCCTGAAGGGTCAGGAAGCATCCCTAGGTGAGGCCGGTCAACTGCAGAAGTTCTTGCAAGACCTTGATGACTTCCAGGCGTGGCTGTTCATGGCACAAAAGACCGTGGCTTCGGAAGATGCACCTGACTCCCTGCCCGAGGCTGAGCAGCTCCTCCAGCAGCATGCAGCCATCAAAGATGAGATTGATGGACACAAAGACGACTACCAGAATGTCAAGGTTTCTGGGGAGAAGGTGGTCGGAGGCCAGACTGACCCAGAGTACCAGCTTCTAGGCCAGAGGCTTGAAGGTGTGGACACAGGCTGGGATGCCCTCTGCAAGATGTGGGAGAACCGGGGCCACTTCCTTACCCAGTGCCTTGGTTTCCAGGAGTTCCAAAAGGATGCCAAACAGGCAGAAGCAATCCTGAGTAATCAGGTATAGAGGAGGAGGTGGCAGAGGGGTAGAGGGGCAAGAGAAGACATCTTCTGGCAGCAAGGGGAGAGACTGAGGATGTCTTTATTAGTTATTGGGATTGAGTTTTTTCCCTTTGAATCCTCCCTTTTCCCAACTAAGCTTTTCCATCCCCACATATCAAGCTGACTACTCCTCCTCCCTTAGTCTGTTAGAATAGGAGAGTCAAGATAGTGACCTAAATTTCTCCCTGAATGGTTAACATCCCATAGTATAAGATCCACAAAGGTATTTTGGGAAATCGCAAGTGAAGGACTTGAGACCCTTAGAGTTTTCCTGGCTACCACTGTGGTTTGGCTTCATACCCCATTCTGGAATTTGCTCCAATAGGAATACACTCTTGCTCACCTGGAGCCTCCAGATTCATTAGAAGCTGCAGAAGCTGGGATCCGTAAGTTTGAGGATTTCTTAGTGTCCATGGAGACTAACCAGGATAAGATCATGAACACTGTGGCCTCTGGGAACAAACTCGTCAATGAGGGAAACATCTACTCTGACAAAATTAAGGAAAAAGTACTGCTGATCGAGGACAGGTAATCCAATGCTTGGGGGATGTATATCAGTTAAGAAGTTGGATTAGATAACCGTTAAGGCAGGAATACTTAATCTGGGGTCTATAGATTTCAGGAGCCTGTAAACTTTGATAGAAAAAAATTAATCTCTATTTTTACTAACCTCTAACTGAAATTTCATATTTCTTATGGTAATGAAAAGGGGGTCTAGTAGGGACCCGAAGGAAACCATGACACAAAAAGGGTGAAGAACCCCCTCTGTAAGGGGCAGCTAGGTGGCACAGTGAATAGAACACTAGCCCTGGATCAGGAGGATGTGGGTTCAAATTCAGTCTCAAACACTTACTAGCTGTGTGATTCTAGGCAAATCACTTTACCCTGATTGAAAAACAAAAACAAAAACAAAAAAACACTCCTCCTATAAAGTTCAATATTCTAATATTTGGTCACATAGTTGTTAATAATAGCTAATAGCTAACATTACTATAGCGCTTACTATGTGCCAGGTGCTGTACTACATGCTTTATGATTGTTATTTCATTTGGTCCTCACAACAACCCTGGAAGGTAAGTGCTATTATTATCCTCATTTTACAGATGAGGAAACTGAGGCAAATAGGTTGAGTGACTTACCCAGGATCACACAGCTTGTAAGGATCTAAGGCTGAATTTTTAACTCAGGTCCTTCTCACTCTAGACCTGGCATTCTATTCCTGAGACCTTGGCAATAAGTCAAAGGAAGGAAACTGTTATTTCCTTTATTTTCATGACTCTCTTGACCATCTTTCCTTCTAGGCACAAGAAGAATAATGAGAAATCCCAGGAAGCAGCACTTCTCCTGAGAGACAATTTGGACCTTCAGAACTTCCTACAAAACTGTCAGGAGGTAGTACTCTAGAAGAAGGGTTTCAAGAATTAACTCTCCAGGATTAAAGGACTCCCCCACCCCCACCTTCCTTTAAAATCCCTTCTAAATCTAAAAAAAAATATGGTTGTACAAAGGGAAAAACAAAAACAAAAACAGAAGAAATCCCAGAGATTTGACTCCCTGTCATTTCAGATGGCCCCTAGCTTTTTCTTTTTCTTCTGGTTTTATGTTGTCTTCAGGAAAAGTAGCCTGATGTAAGGTTTAGGACCTCCCCCGGTGACCTGACTTGAAGGGAATTGCCTGTTTCCTCTTAGAAAAGTCATCTCCTCCAGGGTTTATGTGAGACTTCACTTCACACCTCAACTTTATACTCACTATCTCTTGCCTTTACCCTCTCAATGACTAGTTTATTTGACTTTGGAAAGGGATGTTTTGGAATGATGCAGGCTTAATCCCAGCATTAGCACACCAAGTCAAGTCAATGGCATTTATTAAGCATCTACTATGTGCCAGGAATTAGTCTAAGTGCTAGGGATACAAATAAAGGCCGAAACAATCCCTGCCTTCAGGGAACTCACAAGCTAATGAGAGAAACAACATGCAAACAACTATGTAGAAACAAGATATTTTCAGAATAAATTGAAGATAATCTCAGAGTGAAGGCATGAGCAGTAAGCCGGAAGGGGGAAGGGTTCTTACAGATGGTAGGATATTAGTTGAGACTATATGAGAGTTCATATGTTAGAAATCTTTAATACCCATCACCATACTTCTTAAACTGTTTATGGTTATGAGTCTATTCTTGACCTCATTCCTTGTCAAACATTTGCTCTCTGTTCATTAGCAATGTCTTAGCTAGAATTTAAAGATCCAAGAAGGCAATTTAATAAGCATTTATCAAGTGGCTGATTTTTTTAGAGTATCATGTGGGAACAGGCATAGGTACTAAATGAGAATCCTTCTGCCCTCAAGGAATTTCCAGTTTGGTGGGGTGATACATTACATAAACAAAGAGCTCACAATAGAAAATAAGTATTTCTTATCAGTAGAAGATAAGATAATAGAATCGTAAACAATGTTATACTGGGTTCAAGGTCAGAAAGTTGGGCAATTGGAAGGATATTAGGGACAAGTAAATGGAAGCCCAATGTTAACACTAGAACAAGAACTCCAACACCAACTAGGGAAAGGGAAGTCAAGCCAGGTAGCAGGAGGAAAGTGAAGTAAAAACTCTCTCATTCTCACACTTTCTCCTCTTAGCCCATTGGACTACCCTGGCTCCTGTGAAAGCACTTCTTTCACAAGCCTGATGGGTGGTAGGTTTGTTCTGCGTCCTTGAGAAGCAGGGCATCACCATGTTTGTGGAGGATTCAATCTAAGTTTCCTGCCTACAGCTCACTCTCTGGATCAATGACAAGCTACTATCATCTCAAGATATTTCCTATGAAGAAGCCCGGAACTTGCACAACCAATGGCAGAAGCATCAAGCATTCATGGCGGAACTGGCTTCCAACCAAGGGTGGCTGGAGAAGGTGGATAAGGTAAAGCAGATGATGCCTGGCACTGTGTCCAGGAAGGCCTGCCTGGTTGGAGCTTCACCAGATCATGTGCAGAATTCTTGGAATCATACAATTTGGAGGTGCAATAACTTCATTTTAATAGCTCTTTCTATTCAAGAATCACCCTTCAAGGCCCTTCAATAGACACTAGTTAAGCCTCCCAAACTCCTGTAGAATCAACCCTGTTATAGATGGGGACATGAGACAGCAGAATTGTAGTGTCTGTCAGGATGTAAAAGTTGTCCCCAGGACATTTTGGATACTATAACAAAAGCTGATAAAAGTCCCCTAAGGCATGTTGCCAGGATAATGATAATTGTTCATGGTCATATTTAGTTTTCCCCATCCAAGGGTCACAAAACACTGTCCAGAATTAGGTGTATATAGGAGGTGGCTGATCAAGTCCTGTTGTTCAATTGTGTACAATGTTTTGTGACCTCATTTGGGTATGGAATGGTTTTGCCATTTCCTTCTCCAGCTCATTTTACAAATGAGGAAACTGAGGCAAATGAGTGAAGTGATTTGCCCAGGGTCACACAGCTAGTGAATGTCTGAGTCCAGCGTTGAACTCAGGAAGAGGAGTCTTCCAGACTCCAGGCCCTGCCCTCTATCTATTTTACCTTCTAGCTGCCCAGCTGTTAATCAATAACACTGAGCTCTGTAAAAACATGATGAATGATTATTTTTATCATTTTATAGATGGAAAAACCAAGAGACTTCTCAAAAAGAAGGAATTTTATGAATATCATAGTTTAAGATACGACAAAAATTAGACCCGGAAATTTTGCGTTCTGTAACTGCAATTATACTTTTTTTTTTAAGAAAAAAAGGTTTATTTTATTTAGCACTTGGTATCTGTAAAGTTTTTTCTCATATTTCTATGTCACATGACCCTCACAAATAATCCTATGAGGTTGTTAACACATGTTTTACTATCTCCATTATAGATAAAGAAGTCAAGGGTGAGAAAGGTTAATTAACTTGCCCAATGTCTCATAGCCAACAAGCTCCATAGCTGGAATTAAACCCAGGTCTTTTGACTCTAAATGCCGAGCTCTTTCTCCTTTCTTTTGTATTTTCTAGAATTTGCTCAACAAAGAGCAGGTATAGGACAGATATTATCAGGGCCACCTTTGGTGGGGTTCAGTGCCTCACCGTGTATGTTTCTATGCAAATTAAATCTAATTAAAATCATTTCAAGAGGAAGAGTCTTAAAAGAAGATCCTGGAGGGCATAGTAAAAAGCAGAGGTAGACTGCAAAGGAAGAGAAGTTTTGTTTTAGAGGTGGTTTGGCAGGGAGGTTTTGGACAAATTTATGTAACTATGAGCCTCAAGGAGGTTTTTTGTTTGTTTTGTTTTTAAGCACAAACTGGTGAAATTGTTTCCTTCTCTCAGCTTCTACTGCCTCGTTGAGTTGCTAACTAGCACCCTTCCCTGTGGCAACATGGCCCCTGCAAAGGCTGAACTCTGGGTGTTTTTACTGTCTTTGAATTAGTCATTTTCTTGACCGTGGGATTCTGCTCCCTACTTAATTCTCTGTTCTTTCAGTGCCCCACCTCAGTGGTCATGGGCATGGCTTCCTTCTTGTAGAAAGATGTCTCCCCAGTCATCCCTGAAGGCCTCATGGTGAGCTCTCTTCTTTATTCCCCATGCAGGAGGGAAGGCAGCTTATGGAGGAGAAGCCACAGTTTACAGATGTAGTGACCCAACGGCTGAGGCAACTGCATCGCCTCTGGGATGAGCTGCAGTCCACCACACAGGACAAAGCCCAGCACCTCTTTGCCGCCAGCCGCTCAGACCTTCATGCCCAAATGTATGCTGACCTCAACAAATGGATCAGTGCCATGGAGGACCAGCTGCGGTCTGATGACCCTGGCAAAGACCTGACTAGTGTTAACCGGATGCTGACTAAGTTGAAGGTATGTGGGCAAATTGTGTAGTTTCATAGTTACAAAGAATTTTCTTGTAGATCTTCAGTTCCAGTCCACTGCTTCATAGATGAGGACATTGAAATTCAGAAATATAAAGCTGCTGGTTAGTGACAGAGCCAGGTGTCCTAGGCCTTAATCTTGTACTTTCCCCCAGAATTCTATGTAATTTTCTCTTTCTCCTCTAGCACTTTCCTGACTGATGGTGACTGTGATTCTTCACTGGTGGTGACTGGTGGAAATAGGTCCATGTGTTCATTCCTTGGAGGGAGGTGAAGCATTGCTCCACTTGAAATTTAGCTGGGTCTTTATCTTCATGGATATGAATAGCGGACAAGACAATGAATGGAGAGATAGTACATTTCTCTCTCAATACCTCCAGAAGCAAGGGCTCAGAGTAGCTGTGACCATAATTCTTCCCACCTCCAGCCAGCAGTAGCCAGTGTTATTGGTCAACATAAATAGGAACATGGTTGTCCTATGTGAAGTACAGTAGGCAACCACTTACGGAAAAATGACTGAATAGAGCTCTAGGAAGACTCACCTCTTCCAAATTTCTCTCAATTCAATTTACAAATGAGGAAACTGAGGCACAGGAGTGAAGTGATTTGCCCAGGGTCACATAGCTAGTAAATGTCGGAGGCCAGACTTGAACTCAGGAAGAGGAGTCTTCCAGAATCCAGGCCCCACCTTCTATCTGCTTTACCATCTAGCTGCCCAGCTGTTAATCAGTAACATTGAGCTGTGTAAAAAGATGGTGAATGATTTTTTTTATCATCTTATAGATGGAAAAACCAAGAGACTTCTCAAAAAGAAGGGCTTTTATGAATAGTTTAAGTTGTGACATAGTTTAAGATGTGACAAGAATTAGACCCAGGAATTTTGCATTCTATAGCTACAATTATACTTTTTTTTAAGAAAAAAAGGTTTATTTTATTTAGCACTTGGTATCAGTAAAGTTTTTTTTTCATATTCCTATCTCATATGACCCTCACAAATAATCCTATGAGGTTGTTAATACATGTTTTACTATCTCCATTATAGATAAAGAAGTCAGTTCAATAATCAGTTGTCTCTATTGTCTGAAATTCTACCATTTGAGAGTACTTTGGGTGGAAGTATTTTCCTCTATTAAAGAACACATTCCCTTGGGGATTAAACCTGTGCTTTGTGCTATTAGCCCTTCATTTAGTGTCAGTTAATTTATTAAATCCTGTTTTGTAGAGGACGGGTTTGGTAGAGAGGGGACAAGGAAGAGAGAGAGAGATGTATAGGGTTTGGCATATTTACCCAAGGAGGACAGGCCTTGGTGACATTGTTGTTCACTGTGGGACCTGGGACACCTTAAGGGAATACAGCATCAGAGAGAAGGCTGCTTTTAAGAAGTAGGAGATCCATAAGCACAACTTTCATCCATTTCACAGCTTTCCTGCAGACAGGCCTTGAAGCTATAAGATAGCTTTCTCAGGATTGGGTTTCTTGGTAGACATTACCATGGGCTCCTTTGTTTGGAGTATGACAGAGTCATGGGCTTTGGCTACAGGCTAGAGGGAAGAAAGAAGTTTCAGTTGCTGTGGACTTGGTTATCATCTTTTTTCCTCTTAGGAGATGCAAAAATGTTCTTAGGGGAGAACATGAGCTCATGCTTAATGGCTTTAAACTATATATTGTATGCCTATCTGTAAACTGCCTTAAGTGGGAGGGGGAATATATCCTAAAAAAAATAGATAAATTAAAAATGTACTGTATTGGTCCAAATGTAAACATTACCCCTTAGCTGAGATCACTTTGAGAAGAAAAAATAATTGGTATACATTATAAAACAATTACACAAAATTACTATGTTACTATATATATATATATATATTATAGAATTATTTATATATTTATATTTCTCTTCAAATAAAGGGTTTTTATATTAATTTTTCTCATAGGTGCCATCTTCATTTTCGTTCTCCTGTTAACCACAGAAAAATTATACACCACATTTAGTTTTCTTAGTAACTGGCTTGCTACTTTTTGTAGTTTTTTTTCTGTAGATTTGTGGTTTATTCTTAGATCAACACAGTTATAAGCACTGTAAAGTTTCAGAAAAGGAATAGCTTCAATATCCATCTTCTGATGTCATCAAGGAAGGGCGGATAGGATGGGTTGGACCTTGAAGGGAGTGGGGGTTGAATGTGTATACATGGGGAGAAATATAAATCTCATTCCACTTCAGGGGTTGTTTGGGCTGTAAGTGTGGCCTGACCCTATTTCTTGGGTTTCAGAGGGTGGAGGATCAAGTGAATGTGAGGAAGAAGGAGTTGGGAGAGCTGTTGTCCCAGGTACCCCCCGTAGGGGTGGAAGGGGATGGTACAGAGCCAAGCATTGAGAAGCGCTTCCTGGACCTTCTAGTGCCTCTGGGTAAGAGGAAGAAACAGCTGGAGTCATCTCGAGCCAAGTTGCAGATCAACAGAGATATAGAGGATGAGACGGTGAGTCCCCTGCCTCTCCCTGTCCTCAACAGAGCTGCCACCAAATTTCTCTCAGTCTTTCGTCAGGAGGTACCTCATTGCCACTCAGTTCTATTCAATTTAATGAGCATTTAACAAGCACTTAAAATGTACAAGGCTCTGAGCTAGGCTGGGGGAATACAAAGATAAATATGACACAACTGGCCTTCAAGGAGCTTACAATCTAATGTATAAAGGATAAAGGGAGAATGTCTAAAGGTGAGGTCCAAGCAAAGTGCTGAGAGAGATTTGAGGAGAAATAAATCACTTTTACCAGGAACCACTTCAAGGAGAAAGCAATATCTGAGTTGGGCTTGAAGGAAGGGAGAAGACAGAAATGAAGTCAAAGTTGGGGACAGTCCATTTCCAAGTGTGAGCAAAGACACAAAGAAAACAAAATGAGAGTGGTTCATTTTGGCTAGAATGAAAAATATGTGAAAGAGAGTAGTATAAGAAAAGAAAAGATAGATTAGTTCGGTCATTTTGGGGAGAAGGTCACTGAACATCAGAGTTAGCATTCTGTTTTATTCTATAGACAGTGGGGACCCATTGAAGGTTTTTGAGTTGAAAAAATGACATCACCACACTATATGACTTGGGGTGGGGCAGTGTTCTGAAAAATGGATTATGGAAAGGATAGGGTGGAACAACTCTTTGTCACAACCTCAATGTCATCACATCCCCTCACTTTTTGGTCTTCTTTAGCTCTGGGTAGAAGAAAGGCTGCCACTTGCCCAGTCTGCTGACTATGGAACTAACCTCCAAAGTGTGCAGCTGCTCATGAAGAAAAACCAGGTGAGCCAAACACCTCCCCATATCTCCCCCTCCTCTTCATGGTGGCTTGATCCTCTGTCTACCTGGGAAGGCAGGCCCTATCCCTAACCTAAGCAAGGCAGTCTATGATAGATAGGCTAGATACATGGATGTATTTTCATTGGTAGGTTTGAGGTCTCAAAGCCTTATCTGGTACTCTAAGGGAGAGAGCACATTTTGAAATATATAGAGAGAATACAGATTTTGGGAAAAATCACAGAAATTTGTGAGACTAGGCCACTCAGGCTCTGAGTCTTTGCCTTCAGGTCACCAAGGTGGGTGAGGTGTCAGGTAAGCCTTTTACCCCTATCAGATTATTGTGTTCTCCTATTAAAGTGTTTGCCTATCAGAGACACATCCTGGATTTTAATGAGAAGAAGCCAGTAAAATTAGTCTACAGGATCACCTCCCATACTTGCTGGTCCTGTTTTCAAGGCTAAGTTTGGACCCTGAGTAATGTTAGGACTCAGAAGGTTAATGGGACACTAGAATTATTTTGGCATCGAGGATACTCTCTGGGACCAAATCAGGCCAGAAGACTATTTGAGCCTGGAATGCTATTCTCTGAGAACACATCCATCTGCTAGTTGATTTTCAGCCAGGGATGGGCTTTGAGCCTGCCTGGCACCAGTCAGGGGGTCAGGGTTTTGAAACTGAACAGATGCCAAATGTGCCGTGTTTTTTTTTTCAAAATGCAGACTACTAAATAAAGCTAAATGTGGGGAGGAGACTAGTTTTATAGAGTTTCACTGTTTCCATACCCATCAGGGACATGGTTGCAGATTTCTCCCATAGGCAGAAGGCCTTCTTGCCCCACTCGGACCAGTATCTGGGTCAGGAACTGGTATGCGGTCCTATCTTTGCTTGGGGAGGGTTGCTTTTCAGCCCTGGGAGAACAGTGGTGCTAAGAGAATGACAGGTGCCCTTGGGAGAATTGCTGGTTGGTAACATTTAGAGTTTCTTCTGAAGAATAATAGACATTGCAATCTACAGGCAGGACACAGAGTCCTAGGAGTCATGCCAGGACCTGGATTATAAGGAAAGAGCCTTCCAAAACTCCTTTGGTACTTGTCTCATGCTTCTTAGTCACATGAGTACCAATGGTACAGCCAAGTCAGAGTCTAAGAAGATGAGAGGGTACTAGACTAGAGGGTCTTGAAGGGCAGAAACATGGCTTCATTTTCTTGATAATTCTTCTTTATTAGGGGAAGGAGCCGTAGAGGACATATGTATCGTTGAGGTCAACATCTGGCTTCATAAATTTTATCACCAAGAAGGTTTCAACTTCCCTGGCTCTGGGGTGCTGTTTCAGGAAATAAGGATGAGATTCACCCAACCAAGAAGGGAAAAAGGATATTTGAGGGAAGGATGGTGGTGTGTAGTTGAAAGAACACTGGATTTGTAGTCAGAAGACCTGGGTTCTAATCCTGGTTCTGCCACTTATTACCTGTGTGACCTTGGGCAAGTCACTTCATCTCCAGAGGCCTCAGCTTCCTTCACCTGTAAAATAAGGCGTTTAGATTAGATGACCTTTTAAGATTCCTTCTAGTTCTAGCTCTAAGCCCTACGACCCTGTGAACCAAAAACAAATATTTTAAACTACCTAGGTTAGCTGAGTCAACTGAACAGAAGATACTTTAACTGAAAACTTGGGAGAAACGCTTTTAGAAAAAGACTTCATTTTAAAGGCATATTTGTGGAGATTACGAAATCTCATGGGAAGGAGAATGAGCAAGTTTAGAAATATAAGCACAAAGATTCTAGCACATTGGAGAAATCTTTGTTTAATACTGGATTTCAGCAGATTTGGGGGATTATGTTTTGGTATTTAAGAATTTGTGTACTTGCAGTATTCTGGTTACTATACTGCTCTGCCCCTGCCTTCTGGAAGTTTTCATCTTTTAAATATATTAGTCTTAGGACACAGAGTTCTTTATACTTTTAAATATCGTTTAAGACTCCTTTATACTCTTAAAAATTATTGAGGACCCCTAAAGAGCTTTTGTGTATGTGGGTTACACATTTACTGTATTAAAAATTAAAACTGATAAAATATTTCAGTATTGACTCATTAAAATAATAATAAACTCTGTTAACACAATAAATAAACATAATAGAAATGTGTTAATATGAATATGTTAACATAACTAGCATTATTTTTTCTAGAAAATAACTATTTTTCAAAACAAAAAAAATTCATGAGAATATCTTACATGTTTCTTGCAAATCTTTTTAATGTCCAATAATGTAAAATAGCTAGATTCTCATATCTAGTTTTGTGTTCAATCTACTTTGATACGTTGTTTTGAAGTATATGTAGCAAATCTGGATTCACACAGATACATAATAGGAAAAGGGAGGAGTGTGTTAATGGCAAATAACATAGTATTATTATTATTATTATCAAAATAATTTTGACCTTACAGACTCCCTGAAAAGGTCTTTGAGACTCCTAGAAGTCCTTGAATAATATTTTGAAGACTACTAACAGAAATAGAAAATAGCACCTTTTCATTAAGCCAGAACAAAGGAATATATTGCCTTGTATGTGGAAAGGAAAAATAGCTTAAAAAGAAGACATCAAAAAGGCAGGAATTTTTCCTTTACTTGACTATATCTTTTTCTCCCTTCTTTTGTTGTTGTTGTTCAGTCATTTTAGTTGTGACTCTTTATGACTCCATTTGGGATTTTCTTGGCAAAGATACTGGACCGGTTTGCCATTTCCTGCTCTAACTCATCTTACAGATAATGAAACTCAGGCAAATAGGATTAAGTGACTTGCCAAGGGTGACCCAGCTAGTAAGTGTCTCAGGCTGGATTTGAACTTATGAGGAGGAGTCTTCCTGATTCTAAGCCCAATGCCCTATCCACTGCACCACCTAGATACCCATCCCTTCTTCTGCCTCCAAAAAAATTAATTCAACTCAACAAATATGTATTACCTACCTTCTTACTTTGCCAGCTCAGATAAGAGGTTGCAATGAATGTGATGGCCACTATATTTTCATAGCCTTTTCAGATCCCAGAGTTGGGGATGCTTAGCAAATATTATCCCTTGTATCAGTGATAGTAGAAACTTTGTTCTGAATGAAGATCAGTCTTTAAAATATGCCATCTTGCCATATAGGATGATTCTGTTTCATTATCAGCAGTCCACATACTTAGTCCTTAAACTTCTTTGTACCTCAGTTTCCTCATTGTAAAATAAGGAACTGGAGTAGGTGCCATTGAGAACCTTCCTAACTAAAATAGTTGTCGCCCATTTTGTCAGTCAGTCAAAAACATTCATAAAGGACCTACTGTGTGCCAGGCCCTGTGCTAAGTTCGGGGGATACAAAGAAAGGCTAAAAATGGTCCTTGCTCTCAGGGATCTCACATCTTGTTGGGAGAGATAACATGCAAGCAATGATGTTCAAATGATATGTACACAAGATAAATAGGAGATGATGAACAGAGAGAAAGCTCTAGTATTAAGGGGAATCAGGAAGGGCTTCTTGCAGATGGTAGGACTTTAGGTGGGACCTTAAGGAAGGCAGAAGGTAGAGCTGAGGAAGAAGAGAGTTCCAGTGACAGGGGACAGCAGATTTTCATCTTGGTCTTCCTTATGACTAAATATACATTAATGATATTCCTGGTTGGAGGGGAGAAGTACAAACTAGTTACAAAGTAAATCATTGTTAAGTCTGAAGTAAAATGACTCATACAGAGAAGCCAAGTCCTTTTTTTTTTTTACAGAAGCAACTGAGCTTAGCTTTTACTTAAAACCACACATTTGATAAGGATAAATGTACATACTATCATACTTGGGTTCAAAAAATCAACTTCACAAATAAAAGGTGGATGTGGCATGGTTAGATAACACTTTATTTTTAAAGATCTGGGGGTTGGGTCAGCTAGCTGGACAAAGCACCGGCCCTGGAGTCAGGAAGACCTGAGTTCAAATCCAGCCTCAGACACTTACTAGCTGTGTGACCCTGGGCAAGTCACTTAACTCAAAAAAAAATTGGGGAGGCTTTGGTGGTCTGCAAGCTCAGTATGAGAAAGCATTATGAGGTGGCAGCCAAAAAAACCTAATGTTATTAGGACTAATGCATCTAGGACTTGGGAGGTATTGTACTCTGTACTCTGCTCTGGTCAGACCCATACCTAAAGTATTGTTTTCAGATATAAACACCACAGTTTAGGAAGGATGGATGAACTAGAGAGAGTCCAAAGAGGACTATCTAAGATCATAAGGGCTTCAAGTCTGTACCATATAAGATCTGTGAATGTTTAGCCTAAAGAAAAGACTCACGGGACATGAAAACTGTGTCTAGATTTTTGAAGACTTTCTTTCATGTGGAAGAGACAGACCCATTTTTTTCTGGCCCCAGAAGACAGAAGTAGGCTCAATGGATAGAAGTTGCAGAGAGACAAATTTAGGCTTGATGTCAGAAAAAATTATCTATCGAAGTTGTCCAAAAACAGAATAGGTTGCTTTACATGGTAGTAGGTCCCCTACCCTCGCCAATAGGAGGTCTTCAGGTAGAGACTGGATGGACACTTGGATATTGTTAATGGAGATTCTTTTTTAGATAATGAGCTGGGGACTAGAAGGTGACTGGGATCCCTTCCAACTCTAAAACTTCGTGTTTTTCTTTGTGTGAGATGCAGAATGGTGTAGTCCTTCCTTGGTGTCAGGAAAGACTGTTTTTATACATTCTAGCTTGGTGACCAAGTAACTCCTCCTTTTGGTACCCCAGGCAACTTTCTAAGATGTAGGCTACAGCTGAGCTTTTCTGAGTGCTTGCTCAATGGAAAATCACAGGTCAAGAGAAAGAAAATTAGGAAACTAGAACCAAGTCTGAAGCATGGATAGAAGTCATGAAGTAGGAAACCAGAAATGTGATCTTAGAAAAAAGTTACCTCTTTACCAGAACACTTGAAAATGTTCTGGATTGGCAGTCAGAGGACCTGTGTTCAAATCTCAGCACCTGGGCACTTTGGTTCTATGGCTTCAGTTTTCTTGTCTGTCAATTTAGAAGGTTGGACTATGTAGGGTTCTTAGAATAGGGCTCATGAACTTGTGTGTGTGTGTATGTTTAACTGTATTTCAGTGTGATTGGTTTCCTTTGTAATCCTATGTATTTTGTTTTATGCATTTATAAACATTATTCTGAGAAGAGATTCATAGGCTTCACCAGACTGCCAACAGAGAGTCTATGACACAAAACAGGTAAAGAACCCTGAACTAAACTATCTAATTCTGAGGACATTTTCAGCTCTACATCTAGGATCCTGTGACCTCTCTCTCAGCCTCAGTTTCCTCCTCTATAAAGTAAAAGAGGTGAATGAGATGATTTCTGCTCTGACTTTCCTATGATCTTATGATGCTATGACTGACTCAGTCTAATGCGTGTCCATCTTTTGTCATCTCCAGATGCTACAGAATGAAATTGTGGGCCACGCGCCCCGGATAGAGGATGTGTTGCATCGAGGGCACGAGCTGGTGGAGGTGGCTGAGATAGACTGCCAAGACATTGCAGAGCGCCTGGGGCATCTGCAGGGCTCGTGGAAATTGCTCCAAGATGAGACCGCTCAACGGCTGCAGCGGCTATGGGAGGCCAATGAAGCTCAGCAGTACTACTTGGATGCTGGAGAGGCAGAGGCCTGGATCAGTGAACAAAAACTTTATGTGATCTCTGATGAGACTCCCAAGGTCAGTCACTGTGTGGCTCGGGAGACAGCGAGGTTAAGCGAGCCAGCTGGGTTCCCTCCAGGATGGGAGGAGACAGCCAGCTCCTCCTCTGTCTAGTTCAGATTTCCTTGGCCAAAGAAGTATCCCTATCTGTAAGAATGGGGCAAAGCTAAGAAGTAAAAGGGTTGAAGTCTGTCAAGCTTTAGAAGTATGTGGTGAGTGTAGGTGAGGGGGAATTGTGGGGTCAGGGCCTAAGCGTTCAAGGATAGAATAGGAATCCCACATGTTCTGCTTTGGGACACCCTTCTCAGAAAAGAGACTCTAAATTCAGTATAAATGTGCCACTCATTTGTCCATAGACCAAACCCTTTTTGAATTTGGCATTGCCTGATTTTCCTATCCCCTTATTCCCTTCTACTCTTTGATAATCTCCCATGCCTTAGTTAGATGGCAAGTGGTTCTGCACTTAGCACTGGCCTAAATACTGTGGATAATAGAGACAAAGTGTAAAACATAGTCCTCCAAGGGTCTTATGTTACTTCTGAGGAACCAATACATTAGTATTAATATATGAATATTCTATATACTTTGCTAATTAACACTAATATGCTAACATACCATATAATATATACATTAATATAATTATATACTATTTTTACATGTGAAACAATAATAAATACCCCAATGGTACAAAATTAATTGCTAAAATGTGTGGTACAGATTGTAAATTCCATAGGAATCCAGATTTGAAGTCAGTCCTTGAGGGCTAAGTATACTGCAAGGCAGTATAGTACAAGGGAAAGACCACCGATTCGGGACCTGGATTTGAATCCTGCCTCTGATGCTAACTACACATCTTAACCTCCCTGGGCCTAATTTTCCATATGTGTAAAATGAGGGGGCTGGAATGGATGATGTCTGAGGCCTCTTCCAGTTCTAGAACTATGATCATAAGTGAAGGTTTCACGGAGGACATGAGACCCTGGTAGGATTTAGAAAGGCAGAGAAGGAAAAGGAAAGGCGTTCCTGGTAAGAGAAGTAGCATGAGCAAAAGGTGTGAAGGCAAGAATTACCATGGCATGTTTCTGGGATAGTGATGAAACCAGAGAGGATGGGGCATATTGGGAATTAGTAGGAAAATAGCATAGAATGGGTCCAGAGGGTTTTAGTCACCTCTTTTCTCCAGATTAATGTTAGGTGCACCACATTTATAAAGTTCTGGGTGCAACGTAAGGAATTCTTAACAGGATTGGACTCTGGGAAGAAATCAAATTGCTTGCTAGAGAGTGCCATGATGGTCTTCATTCTGTGTGTGTGTGTGTGTGTGTGTGTGTGTGTGTGTGTGTGTGTGCATGCATGCACGTGCCTATGGTAATAGGGTATGCTGAATTTGCTTGCATCCTTGGGGACTTCCAGCAGCTGTCCTGTAGTTTCTTCCATTGTGTGAGCTTCAGGAAGGGACAGCAAAGAATGCTCTAAGATGGAGCATGATGGCACTTCTGTTTCCATCCAGGATGAAGAGAGCGCCATTGTGATGTTAAAGCGACATCTTCGGCAGCAGCGTTCAGTTGAGGAGTATGGGAAGAACATCAAGCAGCTGGCTGGCCAGGCTCAGAAACTCTTGTCCACTGGTCACCCTGAGGGGTGGGTAACAGTGGGGCTCATTCTTCTGTTTAGGGCAGACCTGACAGTTTTTTTGGTGTTTAGAGAGGAAGGACCTAGCTACAAATGTCTTGATGGGAAAAAATGTTTATGATTTCCGCCAAAAATGGGGATTTGAGATAACTTTTGCTCTACTGAATGTCTAGATTTAATCCCATTATTTAGCTTTGGTTTTAGCAACTCCAACTTCAGCAAACTAATTCCCAAACTAGGAATGGGTTAGATAGCTAGGTGGTGCAGTGGATAGAGCATTGGACCTGGCATAAGGAAGAGCTGAGTTGAAATCTTGCCTCAGATACTACTTGTATGACCACAGGTAGCAAGTCATTTAACTTCTGCCTGTCTCAGCTTCCTCACCTGCAAAAGGGGAATAATAATAACACCTCCCAGAGTTGTTGTGAGGATCAAATGAGATAATATTTATAAAGTACTTTGCAAATCTTAAAGTGCTATATAAATTCTATTTATTATTAGTCTACTTAAATGAATACTTACCCTAAGTATTCATTATTTCAAGGATCTGTTATTTCATTGGTGTGTATTCTTTGTGCAACAGATTGTGGCTCCATTATGAATTAGTAGAGAAACTTTGAGAATTGATTTTTATGCTTGAAAAATCAAGCATGATAATTAAATCAAATTTTAATTTGTGATCTGTAATTAAACATGTGAAAAGTCCATATTTATTGAAGTTGGGTGTTAGATGACAGATTGGGCAATCACTTGGTTCGTGTTCAAAGTTTTTCCAGACTGTTAGTTATTACCAGATCTTGTGCTCAACTGGTATAGCCTTCTAGAACCTAGGCTCACTTTTGTACCATGATAAGGCAACAAAGGAGGACTTTACTAGAGGAGTTAATTGTATATTTTGGTTAACAGAGTTTTCATATACACCAAACATGTATTACTCATTTTCAGAGAGCTAGAATATAATAAAATATACTTAACATTAGACTGTACAAATCTAATTTAACTTATTCTTGATGACCCAACAAGTCCTTCAGATGTCTCAGAATTATCATTATGAATGTCAATGTATAGTATTATAGGAAAAAATCCTGTTATTTGAGCTTTCTAGTTTAAATTCTGGAGGAGGAGGAAGATGATACCCAACATTTATATCTTTATAGCGCTTTGAGGTTTGCAAAGTGCTTTACAAAAATATCATCTCTTTTGTTCCTTACAACAATTCTGGGAAGGAGGTAGGTGCTATTATTATTCCTATTTTATAAATCAGGAAACTGAGGCAGACAGCAATTAAGTGACTTGTTTGGGGTCTTACAGCACTAAGTGTCTGAGGTAAAATTTGAATTCAGGTCTTCCTGACTCCAGATCCAGTAGTCTATCTACTATGCTACCGAGAAGTATATTCTATTTTATTTTATACCATTTAACTTTGGTGCATAAATCACAACTTTCCAGCCATGGCCTTACCAACTACTAAGAGGAAATATGCTAAGCTCACATCAGCCACCACAAAAATTGTCCTTATAATTCCAGGAACATGGTCCAGTGTCCTATGCTGTTCTTCTGTGGACACCAAGGAAGGACCTCTTTGCCTCCACGGTGCTCGGGACTCAAGCTTTTTCCCCAGTGCCTAAAGGCCAGCATGCTAGATAGAGTGCTGGACTTGATGTCAGATATATTTTATTTAATTTATTAAGATTTTTTAGTAAACAAGTATTTATTTTCTCTCCTTTCTACTCTTCTACTTCCAATTCAACAACAACAAAAGAAAATGAAAAGCTTCATAACAAATATATATATATGTATATATCTAATCAAGCAAAACAAATTCTTGCATTGACCATGTCCAAAAATGTATGTTTGATTCTGTAACCTGAGTCCATCAACTCTCTATCAGGAAGTGAGTGCCATGCTTCATCTTTGGCTCTCTGGAGTCATGGTTTGTCATTGCCTTGACTGGAATCTTTCAAAGTTATTTTTCCTTATAATGTTGTGATTATTTAAATTGTTCTCCTGGCTTTGCTCACTTCAATCTGCATCATCTTATAGGTAGTTCATAGATCTTCACAGTTTTCTCTGAGGCTATTTCATTATTTCTTAATAATGATAATAATAATAATAATAATATAATATTCTGTTACATTCACATAATATAATTTGTTTTGCCTTTCCCCAATAGATGAGCACACTCTTGGTTTCTCATTTTTTAAAGCTAATATAAAAAAGCTATTATAAATATTTTTGTACATATAGATCCTTTTCTTCTTTCTTTGATCTCTTTGGAGCATAGACCTAGTAGTGGTGTCTCTGGATGGAAAGGTATGCAAGGTTTAATGACTTAGTTCCAGTTTGCTTTGAACTCATATAGAGTTGGGTTCAAATCTTGCCCAGTTTACTGGCTGCGTGATAGTAATCAAATCACTTGACTACTACATTTTAAGGAACCAGGTAAGACTCAAAGGAGACAATGTGCCTTGTAAACCTTTAAGTGCTATGTAGGTGATGCCAATCAGTGTTCCTCTCTGGTAATGGGCTGATAATGTGTTGGGCATTGGTGAAGGATAAAAACTGTTTTATCAACCTGCTTGCAAAGATAGTGAGCAAGTTCATTCTTCACAATGAATTCTGATTGGTTTAAACTAAGGAGATGATTGGTAAGGAGTCTGGTTGTCAAAACTCCTTGCAATGCCTGAGGACCTGGTAAGGATCATTCCTCTGAGACAGAGAGAAACCTGCACAGTTTTATTTAGGGACTCAGAATTTCATCTCCAGCATCTGCTAAAAGGGACTTTCTTGTTGCCATCAAGCTTCCAATGGAAGGCATCTTGGAGTGGGAGACAGAGCACCTAGACCTTCTACCATAGACCTGTCCATGGTACCTCAGGAAACCTAGGCGTCTTCTTATGTTTCAGTTTCCCCATTAGTCACATGGGGATGAACAGTGGAAGAGAAAGATAAACTAAGGGTTGCAAAATATCTCAGCATCCAAATCTAGGTGCTTTGGAATTCTTTCTCTTTGATACCTCTAATGTCTTTGATGCCCAAGATCACCCCTAATCTTGAAACTTTTGTGTTTTTTTTTTACTTTAGTTGGTATTTGTTTTGTTTTGTTTTGTTTTTTAAATCCTAGGGAACAGATTATCCGACTTCAAGGGCAGGTGGACAAACAATATGCTAGGCTGAAAGATGTGGCTGAGGAACGGAAGCGGAAGCTGGAAAACATGTGTCATTTGTTCCAGCTGAAGAGAGAGGTAGATGACTTGGAACAGTGGATTGCAGAAAGGGAGAAGGTGGCCTCTTCCCAAGAAATGGGACAAGATTTTGACCAAGTTACTGTGAGTTTCACACTGAGAACACTCCTTTTTATTTTTGTTTTTTTTTAACATTGTTGAAAAGGAAAACACATGAGTCTGTCATTATTTTTAGGTGTATAACAATGACAGTCTGCATGTTTTCCTTCCCAATTTTCCATTTTTGTAAAGGACCGAAAACTAATCTATCATCTACTTCTATTAAGCAACAGAGTGTAGCCACAACAGAGTTTGAAGTGTGATGTTTCCAGGGGGTAATCCTCTTGGATTTCAATTTTTTCCTTGAAAAAGGTGTGATGATACATCCATAGATAGCTGTAGTCTAATACAGTCCGTGACAAAAGTGTGAGAGTGTCATGCCACACACACCCCCAACAGCCCAAGAGTCTAATAACCACCTTTCTGTTAACCTGTGTTCTTCTTCTCCAATTCTAGTTGCTGCGGGACAACTTTCGTGACTTTGCTCGGGAGACTGGGGCAATTGGGCAGGAGCGGGTGGACAATGTTAACTTGATAATTGAGCGGCTTATTGATGCTGGCCATGCTGAGGCTGCCACCATTGCTGAGTGGAAGGATGGGCTGAATGAGATCTGGGCTGACCTACTAGAGCTCATAGATACCCGAATGCAGCTGTTAGCTGCCTCCTATGACCTACACCGGTACTTCTATTGGGGAGATGAGATCCTGGGCCTCATTGATGAGAAACACCGGGAGTTGCCTGAAGATGTGGGACTTGATGCCAGTACTGCTGAATCCTTCCACCGTGTTCATACAGCATTTGAGCAAGAATTACATCACTTAGAAGCACAGGTACCATTCTACTCATCTGTCTACCCCCATGTAGCTTTCTTTATGTGGAGACCCAGGAAACCTGCCTTCTGTCCCTATGTACACAGACTATCTTTGATTTCTTTGTGGCTCTTTACAAGTCATTACCCCCGTCCCCACATTCCCATCTGTAAAATGAGTATTTGAGGACTTCAGAGAGTTGGTGTGAATGTCATTGAAGTTATGTCTATGGTGGGCCTGGGAAAGAAGGTGATAGAGAAACATTTTTGTTACCTTCATTATATCATAATCCAGAAGGACATTGTCTAAAAATGGAGCATAAGGCTTTCTGGTTGGAGAGGGGGGTCAGAATGTTTAGGTCTTGCTTTGGGGAAATACTGCAGTGCTTTGGTAGACTGGTGTCTTAATCAACACAGGCACTCTTTTCCACTGGTGCAGATTGTAGCTCCTAGGCATTCTTTATTCATTCATTAAGTGCCTACTACATGTATATGATGGGCCTTGGTCTAGGCACTGGGAATACAAAGACAAAAATCAAACAATTCCTACCCTCAGGGAGCTTACATTCTGTTGGGGCAAGCAACATGAGTTTAAATCCAGCCTCAGACAGCTGTGTGATTCTAGGCAAGTCACTTAACTTCTGATTGCCTTAAGTTTTCTCAACTGTAAAATGGGGATTATAATAGCACCTACCTTGCAGGGTTGTTGTGAAGATCAAATGAGATAGTATTTGAAAAAAAGTGCTTAACATAGTACCTGGCACATAGCAGGTGCTATATAAATGCTTATTTAATTTTCCAATCCATGTATATTATAAAGCTTACATAAAAATAGAAATTTAAAAGGGGTAAAATAATACTTGATCCTAGAATCAATAGGGAGGCACAGCACTTGGTTGAGTAGAGGAGTGACATTGTCAAACATGTGCTTTAGAAAAGCTATTAAAGGGCAGCTAGGTGGTGCAGTGGATAGAGCTCGGGCCTTGGAGTCAGGATTACCTGAGTTCAAATCCGACCTTAAACACTTGACACTTACTAGCTGTGTGCCCCTGGGCAAGTCACTTAATACTGATTGCCTCACCAAAAAAAAAGCAAAAAAAAAAAAAAAAAGCAAGAAAAGCTACTTGAGTAATTTTGTAACACATGGATTGAATAGGAAAAGACTTATAGCAAAGAGAACAATTTGGGGTCATCTGTATGAAGATGATAATTGAAGCCATGGGAGCTGATGAAATCACCAAGTGAGAGAGTCTACAGAGGGAAAGAATAGGGCCCTGGACAGAGCATCAGGGTACACTCACAATTAGAGTATACAATGTAGATGAAGACCATGGAGGGATTGGGAGGGTACACTATGGATGAAGGAGTGAGAGAAGGGGTCAGACTAGTAGAAGGAGGCCTGAGAGAGAGCAGTGGAGAGGGTGCTGTAGATAGATAAAGAAGGATGAGGCTTGAGAAAGGGTCTTCAGATATGGTAACTTTGAAGAAGGCAGTTTTGGTTGAGTTGAGGAATCAAGGATAACTAAAAGGCTGAGAACCTGGGAGATTGGAAGGATGATTCCCTTGATTGAAAAGAGAATCAAGGGGCTGCCAGGTGGAGCAGTGGGTAGAGCATCAACCCTGCAGGCAGGAGGATCTGAGTTCAAATCCATCCTCAGACACTTAATAGCTGTGCAACCCTGGACAAGTCACTTAACTCTGATTGGGGGGGGGGGTGTAGGGAGAGAGAGAGATATTAAGCAGATAGGGCACTAGACTTGAAGTCAGTAAAACTTGGGTTCAAATCATGTTTCAGAAATTCAGAAATCTTTATGACCCTGGGCTCAATTCCTTCATTTGTAAAATGAGGAAATTCAATGGTCTTTACTCTTTCAGTTCTAAATCCATGTTTCTATGAAAAAGGGAAATTCTGAAAAGGGTGAGTTTGGGGATGAAGATAATGTAATTATAATATATCCATGTCTACTCATCCTGTTGCACTCTTCCTAAGTGAAAAATGAAAAGGGTGGGGGGAGATGAAATGGGGCTTACTCACTGTCTCCTGCCCTGGAGCACAGAGTATGAAGCTCTGGTGATGGGAAACCATATGTGAGGATACTACAGAGGAATTTTGTCTGCTTACCTTCTGTGAGTAGGTCTAGGTTATCACTTCCTCAAGGGGACCCATATCAGGGGCAGCCACAAGGAGGCCAGCAATGGAAAGGAGCGTAGAGGGGCAAAATCTTGAAGAGGGTGAGGTAATTGTGTTAGGCACAAGTCCACAGTTAACTGGGGAGGGGTAAGAGGATGAGATACAGCCCATCTTTCCACCCTCTGATTGAAGTCATTTTATGTCCCTGACTTCACCATCACCATCCCATGTAGGAGGCCAGAACCCTTATCCTTCCCAAGCCCATAATTCCTCTGTCATATAGAACAATGGCACACTTTGAATGAGGCAGTGTGAAATGGTGGCTAGAGTAGGGGATTTTGAATCAGAAATACGTGGATCCAAATCCTACTTCTGACATTTACCAGCTGTGTGACCATGGGTAAGTCACTCAACTGCTCTGAACCTCTGTTTCCCAATACATAAAATACCTATAATAATACCTATAGTACCTACCTCATGGGGTTGTTGTGAGATGCGAATGAGACTGTGTCTACATAAAGCACTTTGTAAACTGTAAAGCACCATAGGCATGCAATTGATCATCTTGTGATGATGATGATGATGATGATGATGATGACTACAGATGCGGCAGTTCCGTGATATGGCCACACGCCTGCAGACAGCCTATGCTGGGGAGAAGGCTGACGAGATCCAGAGCAAAGAGCAGGAGGTGTCCACTACATTGAAAGCACTGTCGGACGCCTGTGCAGGGCGCCGGGCCCAGCTGGAGGACACGGCAGACAAATTCCGTTTCTTCAGCATGGTCCGGGACCTCCTCTCTTGGATAGAAAGCATCATCCAGCAGATAGAAACCCAAGAGAAGCCCAGGTATGGCAGCAAAGGCAGAGACCTGTCTTCTTCTTCGGTGGCTACTTTCCCCCACCAGATGGGGCTCATGGACTTAGGCACAGACTCTGACAGTTGTTCTCCGAAGAAGGAAAAAAGGGTGGGGCCAGAGCCAGCATGGCTTGGTGTTGTTGTAATGACGCAGGACCTTTGGGGTTCATCGAGGGAGCAGAGACGCTTGATCAGTGTGGGGCCTGGAAAAGCCAAGGTCCTGCCCGGGCTTGGGCTGAGGCTGAAAGTGACTTTGCTCACTTCCCATTTATTTATGTCCTGGATACTTGTGCCAGCTTGTATAAGGCATTATTAGTAAGAATCATAGTTTCAGTGTTCTGAGAGTGCTAAGCTCCCTTGGCAGTAAAGGACCTTGAACGACTCATGGTTGGACCATACATAAGCCCAGATGTCCCCTACTATCTGTTCTCCAAAATTGTATCATTGGTAAAAAAAAAAACAAACATCTCTTTCCCCATGCTAACAGAGAAGAATTGCATTCTTTCTGCTTAGGAGTAAATAAGCCACAACTGGGAATCCCAGTGGAAGAGCTGGTGTTATAAAGTTCTCAGCATCTTCGATTCCAATTTGTTTAAAGCCACTCATTTATTTACCACCTACTGTGCACAAACTCTGTGCCTGTTGTTGTCCCTCAGAGTCACTTTTCCTCCATTTCATCTGTACTTCCCCCCAGAGACTGGGACCTCGCCCACAGAACCCACCGTGTTCCAGATGGCTAGTTTTATTTTGGGGGTCCTAACACCCCACAGAAAGAGCCAGTCAGTCTTTTTTTCTGCCCAAGTCCCTGGCCCTGGGAATCCCCAAGCCTTCCTCAGTCCTTCAGATTCTCTCTCTGCAGCTGGCCTTCTAGAGGACTCCTAGGAGAGTTAATTACTGGACTGTTTGAGAGGTTGGTGTGGTCTGAGTCATTAGAGTCACACAGTAGGAGGCCTGGATGCCAAAAATGTTGTAGTTTTGGAATTTCTTTTTTTGTTTGTTTGTTTGTTTTTGCTAGGCAATGGGGTTAAGTGACTTGCCCAGGGTCACACAGCTAGGAAGTATCAAGTATCTGAGGCCAGATTTGAACTCAGGTCCTCCTGACTTCAGGGCCAATGTTCTATCCAATGCTCCACCTAGCAGCCCTCTAGTTTGGGAATTTCTAAGTAGTATTTCTGAAGAACTAGGGCCTCACAATGAGTGTGCAGCTTTAAGGCTTTTTCCTCCTTCAGGAGTCTGAGAATTATCCAGAGAGGAAATTTCCCTTTTGGCTTTAGCCTCAGGGTGCAGTCTTTTAGCTGAATTCCCTTGCCATCATCCTTCTCCCCCTCTTCACCTGCCTCTCTTATCAGGGATGTGTCTTCTGTGGAACTGCTTATGAAGTACCATCAAGACATCAAGGCAGAAATTGAAACCCGGAGCAAAAATTTCAGCACATGCCTTGAGCTAGGAGAATCATTGCTTCAGCGGCAGCACCAGGCTTCTGAAGAGGTGAGAAAGGGGAGGGTCTAGAATAAGGGCCAGGGACTGGCTCCTCCAGAGAGAGAAACTGGGGACCACTTGGTTTCAGGTATCATACCCTCTTCCAGTAATGTCTTCAGTAATCCATCTATCTTCCCATCAATTCATTCATTCAGTAAATATTTAAGTACCTACTATATGTTAGACTCTACAAAGGATACAGTTATTCAGGACTTAGTCTTTATACTTGACGAGCATAAAATATGTACATGTAGAGCTTATAAATGGTTGAGATGTGGGGTAACGCTCTGAGCTCTGGACTAGAACCCAAAATCTCCTTACTGTCATTGCAGATCAAGGAGAAACTGAATCAGGTGATATCAAGAAGGCAGGAGATGATGGAGAAATGGGACAGCCGCTCAGAACGGCTATATCTATGTGAGTACAACCTTGGGGCCAATGAACTTGGCCAGGCTGGGGGCTTCTTGTGGATGAAGGGGAGGGGGGAGGAGCATAAAACTCCTCAGTTTTATGATCAGCTCAGTCTAGGGAAGAACTATCCACAACCCATTCATTCCCTACCTCCACCCCCACTGTAGACAGGGGTTCTTAACTAAGAAGGCCCAGCCTCAGGCTTGTACCTGGGCTTCCTCCAGGCTGTCTGGGAAGAAGATTTTCAAGATCTTGACCCTAGCCCTGTGGGACTTTGAGAGTAAAAATGGTAGATGGTTACATGGATGTTAGTGAGAAGACTTATATACCAGGTGGCTGCTGAAATCTGCACTATGGAACAAATCAAGTCATCAAGCATTTATTAAGCACTTACTAAATGCCAGGCAGAGTGATAAGTGATCAGGAAAGACAAAAGAACAATTCCTGCCCTCAAGGACCTGCCATGCCTAAACTTCCCTTCCCACAAACCATAGTCTCTCTGCTGAGCTGCCTAAGAGTCCCAGGGCCAAGGGGCAGAGCTAAGCTGTTGAGGTCTTCTGTGTGTGTGGGTCTGTGGCTTGTTCTTTGTGACAGTGTTGGAAGTGTGTCGGTTCTCTCGGGATGCTTCTGTGGCCGAAGCATGGCTGATTGCCCAGGAGCCTTACTTGGCCAGCAGGGACTTTGGACATACGGTGGACAGTGTGGAGAAACTTATCAAGAGACATGAAGCTTTTGAGAAGTCCATAGCCACTTGGGCTGAGAGATTTGCTGCCCTGGAGAAACTCACCACGGTGAGCTATGGGGCACCCGAGTGTTGGGGCCAAGATGGGAAAAGCTAGAGTGAAGGAGGTAACCAGTGAGCCTGAAATTGCTAGGAAGGCAAAGAGTGGGGTAAGGGAAGGGCTTCAGAGGAAGTTGAGGTAAGCCATTTATTAAGTGCAATGCTCTGTAAATGAGAAGAGTGATGGAGAGGACACTAAAAAAAAAATAGAAGATGCTGTTCTCTTTCATGAAGTTGTTTACAGTTCTACAGAAACAAGACACACATATGTGAAAAAGACCTAAGAATGTTTCATTAAATGATTCATTATTAAGCTTGATAATCGTGTGTCAGCATGAAAATATTTTCAAAGGATTGCAAATAAATGCAAGGGAATAGGGTTGGGAGCTTATGTGTAAGTGAAATGACTGCTGGATTTAGTCAGGAGCCCTAGGTTCAAACCCCAGATCTATGATTTACCACCTCTGTGATCCTGGGCAAGTCATTTTACCTCTGTCTTATTTTCTTCATTTGTAAATTAAGGAGGGTGGACTACATGTCTTGTAAGGTCCCTTCCAGCTCCATTATCTATTATACTCAAGCAAGAAGGTAGTTTGGTAACTGTGACATCAATAGATTTAGAGCCTACTCACCCAAGTAGCTGCAGTGTGATTGGTCTGGCGAGAGGAGGTATAATTGAGGGAAGGCTCCTCTTGGGGCATAGCACAGAGAAACTAGCTCACTGATAGCATTCTGTCCCCATCCTCATGTTTACTGTGTCTTTCCTGACCCAATGAATGACCTTTTCTTTCTCTAGCTTGAGCTGAAAGAACGCCAGATTCCAGAGAAACACACAGAGGACAGAGGGTAAGTACCATAAGAACAGAGCCTGGTTGAGTCTCAAGACAAGCAAGTTTTAAATACTGAGTAAGGTAGACAACTAGGGCTAGAGAACACAGTAGAAAAGAGGAAATGGGGAAAGGAATTTTCCCTCAGGAGTAGCATCCTTAGAGCCTCATGAAGCTATGACAGATGTGCATCTTGATCTTCAATTTGTGGGTATTTATATTGAAAAAGAAACCCCTAAGAAGTCCTGGGTTTGGGGGCTTTGTAAATTATTAATGGAAGACAAAGGGAGAGCTCTCCTGAATCATGTGGGACCTAAAACTGGAAAGGTAAATCTAGAATAAAGAGAATTAAGTTTTATTGCTCTGGATCACTGCCACTGGGGCAAAGCTCACTCCTCATTCTTCCAGGAGCCATGTATAATGTTCACATGGCTGCTTTACATTGGAGACTCTTCCATTTTTCAAAGGATTATGGTTTTTTGGGGGAAATATTTAGCTAAATTTTGTAGGGTAAGCTTGCTGCTGTTTTCTGGGGATCTGTACATGTTAACCTGTGTGCTATGTGTAAGAAGTCAGTCTCCATTTGGTAGGTGCTGCCTTATGAAACGATTTGTTTTTAAACTGGTCTTCCATATTCCTCAGGGCTCAGGAGGAGGAAGGTGAGACAGCTGGAAGTGAGACAGCTACTAAAATAACATCACCGGTCAGTTCCTCAACACATCTGTCTACTTCCGGGTAATCTGTACTGCCAGACCCTACTCACCCATCCTAGAGCTCAGTCCAAGTCAATCAGCAAGAATGCTGAGAATGGTGCACCCATCACTCCTCTGGCCCTTCCATCTTCCCCTCCCCCTTCCAGAGGCTCCTGTTTCAGTTCAGTCTTCCTCATTTTATTGTGTTTACTTAATTCTCCAATATAATTGACTTCCTCCTCAATTCTGTGTAAGTGAAATGCTGGAAGGAGATTATGTGTCTATCCATCGAGATGCCTTCCTTTTTAGTTTGGTTTTATTTAGTTTAATAAATGTTAATGGATAAACATATCACCGTTCACATCATAGGGAAGACCAAATAATTCATGCTGAGCCGTTCTGTTTATGAACTTTCTCTTTTCTTTCCAATTCACCCCTTCCTTGTCCTCAAAACTGGAGTGTTTTTCTCCCCACCTGCAGGACCTTCCGAGTTCTGAAAGTAGAATCTTTCTTTTCTGGTCCTGAGAGTGGGAAGTGCACGGTACACATTCCCCCCACCCCCATCCTCATGAGCTCCTTTATTTTTTTCTTAATGAAAACTTTTACCACCTTTCTCAATTCCCATTCATCCAGGCCTGATGCACCAGATTCACTGGGGTACACATATGGAGGTCCTGGAGGCTGGGAAGGGGGTTAAGTGGAAAAGTGGCAGAAGAAAATCTTAGAGTATCAGAGATGAAGGGGGTGAGCTCTCAGCCTTCTGTTGTATAGAAGAAAGTTATGTAGTAGACATAGCAGAGATAGCAGAAGAGGCTCAGGGATTACTATAGTCAACCAAGATTCCAGGATTTCATTCAGGAGCTCTCTAGAGGGTGTTTTCAGAGGTTATGATTAAGACAAAACCCAGAAGAGAAGGAAAAAGGGGTCGTGGGTGGTGGCAAGGTAAGAAGCATATTCCAGTGGAGTTTCTGTTGGGGGCAAGTGAAGCTATAATGACATTTTTGTTGGGGAACAATTATTTGGTGTTGAAGTCAAATGAATACAGGCCTACAAAAGTGAGCAAGAAGAAAGCAAGATGTCTTGTGCACCACCAACCTATGCACAGCATCCCTACCTGCATGGCGCTATTTCCCCCTCCATTCCTAAGTCATCTGGCCAAGTGCATGCTTCTGTGGAACTCCTGGGTGGAAATGAAGTGATGTGTGGTCCTCGTTCACCTCACCCTGTCTTGGTTTCTGGACATTAGTGAAATTTGGGGACGGGGCAAGAAATTAACTCAGGATGAAAACTGGTTTTCTGTGAGATACCGCTGTGTTGGATCTCATGCCAAAACCAAATTTGTGCCCTCTCCCTCTCAGCACCTGATCGAGGTAGTGGTAAGAACACTGTCCGAGGAGACATGAGTTCTAATCCCAATTTAGTCACTAGCTTGCTGTGTGACTTTAGGTAAGTCATTTTTAATGTCATTAATATCTTCATTTAAGCAATGAGGAGGTTGGATTGGATGATCTCAAAAGGTCCTTTCCAGGTCCTTCTAAGTACCGTTCGTAGATTAAGCCTGCACATTCATGTCTTCATACTCTAAACACACACATACACAGTGTGTATCTCTGCTGCCTCGTACCTCAGTGATATTCAGAAACCTGCTCTGGCCCCAACGTGCTCAGCAGGAGGGCAATAGCAGGAGTCCAGCAGTGGAGGATGCAGAGTCCACCTCAGAAGCTCCCAAGAAAGTTCCTTTTGCATGTGGTAATCCTCCTTCCTGGCCTTTGGTGAAATATCCTGAACTCCCACTAACCAGCAGACAGCCACGGCAACAGGAACAGAGCTGAACTATCCCAAGCCCAGCACTTGCCAAAAAAAAAAATTGTGTTTTGTGGTCTGACTTCCCAAAATAACCCCTGCCTCTGCCTCTTCTGGAGACACAGGCTTGAGGTCGAGTGGCCAGTGCTGTCCTCCAAAGACGTACTGCTTTCCTGCCCCATGGCTGTTTTCCCTAGGATAAATCACTATTTGTCTGTGTGGAATTGTATACAGTGTCTGTGTGCATTATTGTGTCCAAACAAGTGTCCATTTAATTACTCCTTGTGTCTGTGTACGTACATGCATTTCATTTATATATGCAATAGAGCCCTGCTCTTCCTATGTCGACCCCCTTTTATCTATGCTCCTGGAATATCCTGTGTGGGGAATGGGGAGAAGGGGAAAAATGGGCCAAATGCTTAGGGAGAAAGGTGAGTATGATTCCATATGTGTGGCTACTTCTGTATAGCCAAAAGCACTTTATCCAAATATGGAAACCTGCACGTGGCCAGAACCAGAAAGAAATGAAGACAGCAAGTCAAATGAACATGAGGCAATGGCACCAATAGAAATGGATGGTCTGTTGCTTCATCTTCTAGTTTTGTTTTTTTTTACCTTCTGTTTTCATGAAGATCTGATTTTTTAGTGGGGGATGGGGACTCAAGGAAAACAGAAGGGAGGGGGAAAAGAGGGGTGTGGAAGATTGGGAATTATTTTGGCCAAAGAGGAATTTTGAAAAATATTTTCTGCCTGTTAACCCCACTGGAAACATCTCCCCTTCTTATTAGACATAAAATCCTGGGGAACTGGTGCCTGCATTCTTGCCTGTGTGTATGCTCTCTTGGTGCTGGTGGCCATGTAGAATAGACACGTGCTTAGTCTCTGTCTTACATTGTTTCATGTGAAATGGTCGCTCATGCATGACAAACTCCCTGCCTTCTCTCCCTGTTACATGAGAAGGGAGTGGGATGGACCAGAATGCAGTCCAGCAAACACATCACTATTAATGTCCAGGTGCCAGGAGAGCTATCCCAGAGGTTCATCACACTCCCATTCCTCATGCCACATATACATTACCTTTCATACATCTGTGCATAAACATATACTCCCTCTCAAAGATTAGTCTATATTTAATTCATTAAGATTTTTCAATCCAATTTGCCTTCTTTCCAAGAATATGGTTAGTCACTTCATTTACTCCTTCCCCCTCCAGTTTTTCCAGTATGTTCAGTCCAGTTGAGGGTTAACTCTAGTATTCAGGAAGTCTTAGCCTTTCTTTGTGTCAAAGCCTCCTTTGGCAGACTGGTGAAGCCATGGCCCCCTTCTCAGAAGAGTGTTTGTAAATGAATAAAATAAAATACATAGGATTACAAAAAGAAATACAAAAGAAATTAATTATTTTGAAATAGTTTTTAAGATGTTTTTAAAAGTTAATGGACCCCAGGTTATGAACCTCTACTATAAATGCTTTCAACACTATATTACAAAAGCAAATTTGTAATGTAGTGATTTTTATTTATTGCATAAGGGACATAAATCACCTTTGGAGACCTTCTTTATATCCTTGACCTTCATGGCTGGACATGAGAGAGTTTTGCTTAAACTATTCTTTCAATCTGTGACATTTGACAAACAATGTAATTACTACCCACCCCCTAACACCAGTCTGTCTGAGAATCAATGGCTGTCTTGCCAAGGACTAGATCACAAGAAATTGATTGATTTTCTCTGTCTCATCATTTATCATGAAGGACTATAAACCAATCCCCCAGCTCAGGGAATGACTTCCCTAAATTTTCCAGAACAGAAGAAAAGGTAACCTGAGACCTGCCCTGTCTCTGGACCTTGTCTAGAACCTTCTGCAAGAACAGCTTACCCTGGACAGCATGGAGGCACGTTGTATTGTGTGCGTGCTGTTCAGATACTAGCACTCTCCTTAGGAATGTCCTCTTTCTATCCCACCCCACTCCACTCCACCTTTCCTCTGCTTCATGGAACTCACAGGAATGTGGTGCAGGTGATAGGTGAGTATATGGAGGCAGCAGAAGGAACAAAATGCCAATATGCAGAAGGCAAAATTTGGGGTAAGCACACGGGGCGATGATAAAGAAGAGGTCATGTGGTCTAGTGAAAAAAGCATCATATCAGGGACCTGGGTTCTAGTAATGGCTTCACCACTAACTAGCTGTGTGGACTTGGGTAAGTTAATTAATTTCCTTTGTTTCTTTATCTCTAAATGATGATGCCATCCATGAAATAATAACTTCCTCCTTACTTTACAAATATGTTGGGAGGTTTGAGAATGTGTGAAAATATCATATAAATGGAAATACTTCAACATATTTGAGGGACTAAAGAAGACTACTTAATCTGCTTTTTATAGTCTATCTCTTCGTATCTAGATTATTGACAAGTGTTATCTAACCAACGCTGGGAGAAGAGGAGATAATTATCATGGAAAGAGACTTTGATTGGGAGTCAGGAGATCTGGGTTCTAGTCTTGGCTTTACCCCTTGTTAACTATATGACCCCGAGCAGTTAGATTTACTTCTAGGTCTCAGTTTTCCCATCCACAAAACTGGGGCCTTGGTCTAGATGAACTCTAGCCTTCAAGCCGTAACATTCATGGATTCCTATGATTAGGGATGGATCCAGAATTCTTTCCATAGAGTAGGTATGCACTCTAATCTTTTTAGTGAGATTCCTCCTTCCCACCCCCAGGATTGTACTTTCCTAAGGTGTCTGGCATTTAAAAAGATTCATCTTTTTCCCTCCCTGTCTCTGCCTGTCCCTCGCTGGAATAACCCTCAGGCAAGTGTATACCTCAGTTTTCCTGCCTTTGCTATGAAACAAGTAATGCCTGCACTAACCCGCCTCACAAGGCTATTAATTAACATTTGTGTGAAAGAGTTCTTGTTCCGGTTTTCTTTGAAAAGCAATATGCCCATTTTTACTAAGGGCAGCATGGCCTACTGGAAGGAATGATGAGCACGGAATCACAGAATGTGAGAATCAGAAGGGACCTCAGTAATTATTTGATCCAACGCAAAAAGGAATCCCACTAGAACACAGCCAGCAAGTGGTTGTCCAGTTTCTGTTTGATTACCTCCAAGGACGAGGAGCCCACCGCCTCTCACAGGAGCCCATTCTGCTTTTGGAGAACTAATTATTAGAAACTATTTATTCCCCTGATATTGAGCCTAAATTT